TCTCCTCTCTGTGATCAGGCTCTTCACTGCCTCGCCCTCTGGTTTTGTGTCATGGAGGCCACTGGCTCCCTGCCGCAGCAGATTTCTTGGGTTCTTCTGGCCCTTCTCGGCAAGCCCACTGGGGGCTTTCGGCCCATCGGGGTCTTTCCCAGTTGGTACCGCCTCTGGGGGTGGGCCCGTCGGTCGTTTGCTCAGCGCTGGGAAGTCAACCATCCTAGGGACTTCTGGGCTGCGGGGGCCAACAGGGGCGCCTCTGACGTGGTTTGGCGGCAAGCCTTTAAGGCTGAGGCGGGACTCAGCCGTGGTGAAGTGTCGGCCTCCATTTTCTGGGATCTTCGGAAGTATTATGAGCACACCGACCTTCGTCTGCTCTTTGCCAGAGGCCGTCAGCATGGGTTTCCTCTCGGCATTGCTAGGCTGTCCATTCGAGCGTATGCTACTGCCAGGTACCTGGCCCTTGGGGGCTTTGTCGAAGGACCGTATTTCGTCACCAGGGGCATCGTGCCGGGCTGCTCGTTCGCCACCAGCTTGATCAGGGTTTTTGCGCTTGCCAGTTTCGACTCGCTCCCTCGGTCGCCTGGCTTGGACTTCGACGCGTACGTCGATGACCTTGGGCTCAGCTGCACGGGCAGCGCCAGGCAGGTCGTTCGAGCGCTTGTGGGTGGAGCCCGAGCGCTCCACAGGTGCATCACTGACGAGCTGCAGTGCTTGCTCGCCATGGACAAAGTGGGGATGGTTGCTAGCAACAATGACGTCGCGTCTCAGCTCCTCCAGAAACTTGGGCCCCTGGCGGGTCAAGGTGTGGGCGTTGGAAGAGTTACGAACTTGGGGGTGGATTGCACGGCGGGCCGTTCCTTGAGGGCTCCTGACCGAGGCCGCGCGGCCAAGTTTAAAGCTCGTATCGCGCCCGCGCTTCGCAAGACCAGGAGGCTCAGAAAGATTGGGGACGTTCTCGGGAGGCGCAGCTTGAAGGTTTTTGCTGCTGGGCCTTTGGCTGGTGGTACCTTCGGGTCTGACATCTTCGGTGTGTCAGATGGAGAGCTCCTGACCTTGCGTCGTGCTGCCTTGCCTTGCATCAAGCCACGCTCGCAAGGAAGATCCCTTGCGGTGCTCAGCCTGCTCGAGGGAGACCCGTGCTGGCGAGCGAGTGTGGCGCCTATTATCAGATGGTCGAAAGAAATCTGGCTTTGTCACACTCGTGCTTTCCCGTGGTGTTTGTCTTGGGCGGCTATGCGAGAGGGCTGGATACAGACCTTCAGCCACGACGTTCACTCGTGGTCCAAGGTTCGCGGGCCCCTCTCGGCTCTCCACATGTGTATCTACCGATTGGGGTGGGATATGCCTGATTTTACCACCCTCAGGGACGACTTTGGTAGGGACATTTCGCTGACTCTCTCCCCCCCCCCCCGTCTTGTCAAGGTCTTGTGTCGCGACGCGGTGCTCAGGAACCTTGAGCGGGATTCTGGGGACAAGTACGGGGTGGGGTATCGGCTCTGTTGGGATGTTGTCAAGCAGCAGCTCTCGTCGTCCAAGATCCCTGCCAAGGCCAAGGGTGTCATGAGAGCTCAAGCTTGTCGAGCGTTTTGGACAGGAGCAGATGCTGAGGCGGCTGGATACGTCGAGGTGTCCAGTCTCTGCCCTCTGTGTGGTGTAGCAAAGGACACTCTGCATCATCGTCTTTTTTGCTGCTCGGCGGTCGTCGAGATGCGCAAGGAAGTACTTCCCGACTGGCTTGTGGATGCCGCCTGTGATACATCGGACCCTGAATATGAGGAAGAGTTGTTTCTGTATGGGGCGTTTCGTCACCCAGGAGATGTTGCCCCAAAGCCGCTGTGTGATGGTGGTGTCTCTCTCTTGTGTGGCATGTCGAGGACCTCCCTCCTCCTCCTCCCGCGTGCGGTGCTGACAGGGTGGCTCCAGGGGATAGCTTGTGGGGATATATGTTTATGGACGGCTCTTGCCACAGACATGTGGTTAAAGAACTGTCTCGTGCGGGCTGGGCTGTTGCTATGATGGGGAATGATGGCGAGCTCCTGGGTATTCTGAAGGGGCCTGTGTGGGCCCCCTGGCCCCAGACTCCTCAGGCTGCCGGGTATGCTGCCTTCGCGTTCTGCGGGGCTTATACCGATGCTCCGCCCGTGTGCTATAGTGATTGTCAGAATGTTGTGGACCACGTAGCGCTAGGTGCTGATGCGCTTAGTGGCAAAAGGCAGTACACAGGCCTTGTGTTGCAAGGCAAGCACCATTTTGGCGGTCACCTGCGTGCGCTTCACAAAGTAGCGGCCCACAGGGATGTCGATGAAAGCGGCATCTCAGCCAGTGAACGTTTCCGACGGCTCGGCAATCACTTTGCTGACCTGGCTGCCAAAGAGGCGGCCCGTACGCACCCCTCCTTGACTCCGATTGAGGCTGAAGAACTCGATAGGAAGATCAAGATTGCACGGCTGGTCTTAAAAGCTGGGTCTGTTTTGCTTCCATTGTGGCCGCGTCTCGAATTTCGCGGCACCGCCAGGTCCAGGCCTCCCCCCGCTCCTCGGCACCCTCCTCTGGTTGTTGGGCACTCGTGGGTGCAGGTTGGGCCCTTCTGGCAGTGCCGAGTTTGCCTTAAGGGCTCTCGGGCGCGGGCCCCTCCTCCGGGGGACTGTCCTGGTCACTCCAGGTTGGACCAAGGCGTGCTGCTGAGGCTGGGGCACAAGGTTGTAGCCTTCCCCTGCTCAGACTTCTCGAATTTATTTGTTTGTTTGTCGTGTAAGTTTTACAGTAGCGGCTCGCAAATTCTCAAGCTCGGCAAGGTGTGTGGTCAGCCCACAGTCACGTCAATGCGCAACTTGCGCAAGCTCAAGAAGGGCTTACATCCTGACAAAGCTCAGGTGACGGTTGACATTGATGACTTTGTCGCTTTGCTTTAGGAGCTTGGCTCCTCGGCGCCTGTCTGAGCCCCGGACAGGTGTGTCAGTCACTGCAGGGGGCATGGGCGTTGCTGCCAAAAAAGAGCAGGAGGAACAGGAGGAGGAGTAGGAGGACCAGAGGCAACCCAGGATGCATCAACGATGGTGCAATACATCATCCCCGTCGCAAGTCCCCTCCCAACACAGGTCTCTACAAGCCCACGCTTGCTCACTACAAGGAGCCCCCCCCCCCTGCAAGACGAGCGCCCACGGTTCGAGCGAGGAGGAGGACGTTGAGGGTCGGGGGGGGGGGGGAGGAGGAGGAGGAGTTGAAGGAGGAGGAGGACGACGAGGACGAGGACGAGGAGGAGGAGGAGGAGGAGGAGCTGAAGGAGGAGGAGGACTGGAGGAGGAGGACGAGGAGGAGGAGGAGGAGGAGCAGTGCAAACCCAAGGGGCAGCAACGGTGTTACTCTGAACCCTCCTGCCGGGTTCCCTCTTCAGATGTCCTCCCAAAGAAGGCACGTTCATTGCGAGGAGTGGTCAATGAGAAGACAACCGCTTGATAATCCCTGGTCGGGTCAAAACACAGTTCTTGGGATTCCAACACCCTGGGACCAACGTGACTGTTGCGTTCTGACAGTCGTAAAGCGTGCTCGATCACCGCTCCTGGGACCTCAGCACCTTGGATCATCTTTACTGTCGCATCATGGCAGTCCTGAACCGCACCAAAACACCGTTCCGCGAGACGGTGGGGAACTTCCAGGACGAGCGTGCGCGGCGCTAGAGCGAGAGCAACACTCTTGCAGGGAGCCGCCTTCTCTCCCTGAAGTTGCTGCGAATGGTTCAAGACGGATGCGCGCGGTGCTGGAACGAGCGCCCCGTTCTGACATCTCGCTGCCCATCCATCCATGCAGCTGCTGCAGACCTTTCGACCAAACGCTTGCGGCGCGGAAGCGAGAGCCGCCCTGAACGCGCTTTAGAGAACCACCCGCCCTTTCTCTTTTTGAAAACCACCCACCCTTTATCTCTTTGAAAACCACCCACCCTTTATCTCTTTGAAAACCATCCACCCTCTATCTCTCTGAGCGCCGCTATCTGACTCTCACTCCGCGCGGAGTTCCCTACGAGGGCTCATCTCTTGTGGCAATCGATCTCTCTTTTAACGCTGTGGTTCTCTGAGAACCGCCCACCCTTTATATCTCTTTGAAGCTGCTGCCTTTTGTGGGGGCGGCCGTGCGCGCGGCCCCCCGGCGAGAGCCATCTTTTGAGACCCGCCCGCCATCCAGCCGTGGAGCGGCTGCAGAGCTCAAGCTTCGGGATCATGAGTGGCGTCAGGTCGGGCCTGTTCCCCCGCAACAGGCGGATTTTGGGCGAAACACAAAGGATATAATCCAAACGTGCTCACTCGTGGCAGCACATACTCCAAGATCGTCTCCAGATTCTTGTGGACTGCTCTTGAACATCCCCCCCTGTAGAGGGACACGCCCGACCTAAGAACGGCGAGGAGGTCTTCTTCATTAGGCGACGCGCTCCGGCAGCGCTGCGTCCCCCCGCAGAGGCCCCGGGGGGCGCAGCCCCCCCCCCCCCCCAGGAGACCACCAAGGCCAGGCGGCAGGGCGCCCGGGGGCAGAGGCCGCCAGAATCCCCGATTCGACGCTGACCGATCCTCCTCCTCCTCCTCCTCCTCCTCCTCCTCCTCCTCCTCCTCCTCCTCCTCCTCCTCCTGCCCTTTACCCATGACCAGCCTCGAACGTATCCCTATCCCTAAGATTGGCACGCCAAAAGGCGATGACAATCTCAGGGGTTCGCCCTCAAAAAAAGGGAATCCCCAAGATTGGCGTCGTGATGAGGAGGTGCCCAGCATAGGGATAGGGATATGTTCCAGGCTGGTAAACCCAGACCCCCCCAAGTCATGACAAAAATCACGCCGGGAGGTTTTTCGCTATTTTCGGCCTCGGGGGGCCCTTGCCGGGCCTCGGGGCCGTCCAAAACCGGCTCGGGATGAGAAGCGGGTCCCGGGGAATGGGTCCAGACCTCTTGGGGCCGACGTCGTGAACAAAACCATGACGTCGGGGGTCTGGGTACGCAGAGGACCCGTGGGCCTCAGCTCGCGGTGTATGAGGAAGGCCTGGAGCTCCGACGCGTCGCGATTTGGTCACCACATGGGGGGCCCAGAGGTCAGAGGTCCGGACCTCTTTGCTTTGGGGCCAGCTTCTTCGTCCTCTGTCGCTTCTTGGTGGTCGCAGCGCCCAGCAAGGGTCCCTGGATGCCAAGAATTGCCACACATTGTCCGCCGATTTTTTTTTTCGCGACGCGAGGAGGCGGGAGGAGGAGGGGCAGGACTACGCCGGTATCGCCCCCGATGAAGCGCAGATGGCCGAGCTCGTCGACCATGTGTCGACCGGCGCCCTGGGGCGGGCGCTGGTCTCGGGCATCTGGGAGTTGAGCCCAGGGTTGGCTCACCCGCGGGGCCTGACCGGCTGCCCGGGAGGGAGAAGCTCAAGCTCAGCACGAAGGATAAAAGTATGAATTCGAGGATCGAGGTGTTTTGGGGGCGCGTGTGGAGACCAAGCAATGACACGAGCATGAAACTCGGAGGTCCGCGCGGATTGCTCGGATCGGCGCTGGACCCCCCTTCTCTGGCGCGCGGAGCGCGCCAGGGGCGGCGCCCGAGGCACCCCCAGGGTCCGCAGCGCCAATGCGAGGCATCCGCGCGGATTTCCGAGTTTTATGGTTGTGCCATTGGTAGTTATCTTAGTTTCGTCGGGGGGTCGTAGACGGAGGGCTATCGCAAGGTGGGGCTGGGGAACCGGCCCAGCTGGATGCTCCCGTACCAAGCGCTTCCTTATTCCAGGAGCCGTTCGGAGCGATGTTCCCTCGAACCCCACCTCTGCCCCAGCCCCACATTTGTGCCCCCCCGATTAGGGGAGGAGGAGGAGAGGAGGAGGAGGAGGAGGAGGAGGAGGAGGAGGAGGAGGAGGAGGAGGAGGAGGAGGAGGAGCGGAGGAGGAGGAGGAGGAGGAGGAGGGGAGGAGGAGGAGGAGGAGGAGGAGGAGGGGGAGGAGGAGGAGACTGTGGGGCTTCCTGGGGGTCTTTCGTCGCCACGGCTGGACTTTCGCCAAGAGGGTTGGGGCCAGCACGGACTCCCCTGGAGAGGTCGAAGCGTCGCTGTCTGAGGGTCGCCATGAAGGAAGAGGATGCTGGCGGGAGGGGCTGCGTAGGGTTAAGTCGGGCATGTCCTTCAACAGGAGGGATGTTCAGAAACAGTATAAAAAAGTCGGGGGACGATTTGTTGAAGATAGTTTGATCATTTATGTTCTTTAGTATCGATCGTTTTTCGTCCAACATCCGCCTGCAGGGGGACATGCCTGGGACATGCCCGACCTAAGAGTAGGGCCGAGGGTCAGAGAGCGCCTTCCCTTGCAGGACCTCCAAAAAAGGGACGTCAAGGTGGTCAAACGTCTCGCCAATTACGTAGGCCGACGAAGATGCGCATCAACAATTCGCTTCATGTCCAGAGCTTTAGCTTGACGCTGGGTGTGGTGCATCAATTGCAGCTTGACCGAACAGAGTGGTTACACCCTTTGACGTCCGTTTGGGTTGCTGTGCAGACCTGACCCCCCAATCCCTACTCACGGGAGGGGATCCTGGAGGTCCTTCGCCTTTCGCGGGTTCCCTGGGACCTCTCCAGGCACCAAGGCTGCCAAAAAACATGCTGAGACCGCCCCAGACTACTCGGTGAGCCTGTTGAGGCGAGCTGGGTACTCTGGGGGCTTGCGGAGGTGGGGCTATCTGGGAGGGGCTATCTTTGCGCAGCCAGAAGTCCTGCCGCTCCCCATCTTCGACTCCCGACCTCCACGAGCCCTGAGCACCCCCCCGGGACCATCCAGCAGCACTCTCAATCTTCCAGCGAGTCCCAAGGTTCCCCCTCTTCAGTCGGCGTCACCCCAACACACTTACACGCCGGTCGTTGAAAGTAGGTATCTTTGGATTCCCAGATCCCAATCTGCTTCAAGCGCCTTCCTACTTCAAGAATCGGCACGCTGTTGCTGTGTTTTGCTATTCTCTGGGAGGACCTGGACCCAATCCGCTACACCCGCCTTCCTGGAATTCATGCTTCTACCCACTTCTCCCGACCGACGTGTACCTGCGTCGCCCCTCCCCCCCCCCCCAAGGGGCGACGCGCCCTCCTCCTTCGCACGCTCCGGCTCCCCCCGGAGCGGGGCGGCAGACGCGCAGGGAGAGGGGGCGGGGCCCCCCCGAGCGGCGGCGGCCCGCGCCGACGCAGCACGGCGCGGGGACCGACGGCCATCGCGGCGCGGGGAGGAAGAGAATCCGGAGGGGAGAAAATCACGCAGGCACAATGCATCGTCGGTCCCCAAGAGAATGTGGGGAGACATAGGCATTGGGCGGGAAGACAAGCACCCAGAAGATGTTGGAAAGTATGGGCAATCACTGGTTACCAGCCTGGAACACACATCCCTATCCCTATGCTGGGCATCTCCTCATCACGATGCCAATCTTAGGGATTCCCTTATTTTTTGAGGGCGAATCCCTAAGATTGTCATCGCCTTCTGGCGTGCCAATCTTAGGGATAGGGATACGTTCGAGGCTGGTAAACTTGACTTGTATGTATTTATCTTTGTGTGTCCTTGGGCCTCTCTTGAGAGCACCCCTCTGGAGCGCGGCGAGGCGGCAGGCCCGCCAAGAGCCCGCATCAAAATTTGATGCCGCCCGGGGCCCTGGCATCAAAACCTGATGCCGCGGGCGGCCTTGGCGTCGAAATCTGACGACGCTGGCGACCGCGGCATGAAAATCTGATGCCGCCAGGGGCCCTGGCATCAAAATTTGATGCCGCGACGGCTCTGGCATCGAAATCTGACGCCGCGACGGCCCTGCATCAGAATCTGATTCCTGATGCGGGGTCCGATCGTGGCATCAGATTCTGGTGCTGCGGCCGCTCGAGGCACCAGTTTCTGATGCAACGACGTCCTCGCGGCATCCGATTCGGGCCCCTGGCGGCATCGGATTTTGATGCAGGGCCCGATCGCGGCATCAGATTTTGATGCGGGGCCCGATCGTGGCATCAGGTTCTGATGCCAGGGCCGCCCGCGGCATCAGATTTCGGTGCCAGGGCAGACCGCGGCATCAGATTTTGATGCAGGGCCCGATCGCGGCATCAGATTTTGATGCGGGGCCTGGCTGCGGCAACAAATTCTGGCGCCAGAACCGCTCGCTGAATCACATTCTGGTGCCTGGTCCCATCGTGGCATCAGATTCTGATGTTGCGGCCGCTCGGGGCATCAGTTTCTGATGCCACGGCCGCCCGCGGCATGGGCCACTGGCGGCATCAGATTTTGATGCAGGGCCCGATCGCGGCATCAGATTTTGTTGAAGGGCCCGACCGTGGCATCAGGTTCTGATGCCAGGGCCGCTCGCGGCATCAGATTTTGATGCTGGGGCCCGACCGCGGCATCAGATTTTGATGCGGGGGCAGACGGACGCATCAGATTTTGATGCGGGGCTGCCGCGCGCGTCAGCGAGATCCGAAGGTTGTGGACTTCGGGTGCGGGGGCGAAACATCATGTTGCGATGCCAGTGCAGTGCGTGGGGCTATTCAGCGCCACGGCAGGTCGATTCCGCGCCCCAGCTGTCTGTCGCTGGTAGTCATTGCCGTAGCTGTCACTCGTCTCCTCCTCCTCCTCCTCCTCCTCCTCTTCCTCCTCCTCCTCCTCCTCCTCCTCCTCCTTCTCCTCCTCCTCCTCCTCCTCCTCCTCCTCTCTCTCTCTCCTTCTCCCCCCCTCCCCCTCCTCCTCCTCCTCCTCCTCCTCCTGCTGCTGCTGCTGCTGCTGCTGCTCCTCCTCCTCGTCCCCCTCGCGGGCATCAGATTTTGATGCTGGGGCTGGTGCGGCATCAGATTTTGATGCCAGGGGCCCCGGGCGGCCGCCCGCGGCATCAGATTTCGACGCTTGCAGGGCGACTATCGGAATTAGATTTTGACGACTGGGCCGACGCGGCAACAGATTTGTGATGCCAGGGCGCCCCAACGGCATCAGATTTTGATGCCAGGGCCCCTGGCGGCATCAAATCTTGATGCCAGGGCCCCTGGCGGCATCAGATTTTGATGCTGGGGGCCCCTTGGCGGCATCAGATTTTGATGCGGGGGCCCTGCGGCATCAGATTTTGATGCGGGGGCCCCCGGCGGCATCAAATTTTGTCAAATTTTGACGCCGGGGCGTCCGAAGCGTCTGATTTCGATGCCCAGGGCTTCTGGCGGCATCAGATTTCGATGCCAGGGCCGCTGGCCGCATCAGATTGCAGCTAGCAGGCGACACGCCTAGAAAGCAATCGAGCAGGTCTTCATCACCTCTCATTTGCAATTCGCTGGAGGAATTAGAACTGGACGGAATTAGAAATGAGAGGAATTAGAAGTGAGTCCTCTGTACCGAAACTCGCGACGGGAGGCCGAATTTCGTTCGCGACCGGTTCGTCTAGAGCGCTACCAGAAGTGTTCGGTAACGGATGATTTGGGTATTGCCGGGCCCAGGGACCGTCAAACAACGATTCAAGATGAGAAGCCAGTCTTTGGGAAGGGGTCCAGGCCTCTACGTTGCGAACAAAAGCACAACGTCGCATGTATGAGGGGGGAGGGGAGAGTGTGATGGGGGGGTGCGGGGGGGAATTGCGCCGTTAGGGCTTGCGGGGCACCATGTCGCACCTGAGGCTTGATGAGCCCTCGTCGGGGCGCGGCGGAGAACTCTGTCCAGGTCCTCACCCGCACCAGAGGGCGCGGGTTGCAAACGGCACCCGTTGCAAACCATACGTGCGGAGTTGCGTGCCCTTCTCAGGCTGCGCTTTCCTCGCGTCCTACGAGGTTACGTCCCTGCTCAACCTTGACCTCTGCTCCGACGGGGTCCACGCGCCCTTGAGGTCCCCCTCCTCCCCCTCGTGCGGGTGGGAGGAGGAGGAGGAGGAGGAGGAGGAGGAGGAGGACGGGGCGAAGAGGAGGAGGAGGAGGAGGAGGAGGATCAGGAGGAGGAGGAGGAGGAGGAGGCGGAGGAGGAGGAGGAGGGGGAGGAGGAAGTTTGGGGACGTGACCTTGGCACTGAGACGGAGTGCGACCATCCAGGAGATCGGTTTCGCTTCCAGTTCCGTTCGTGTGGCGCCAGCGGGATAGGCGAAGCTGCGCAGGCGGGCGAGTGTGAGCGACTCGTCGTCCGCTCACTTTGTTCGCGCTCTCTCTCTCTCTCTCTCTTTGTCTTCCTTTCTCTCTATGTATATGTATATCTCTCTCTCTCTCTCCCTCTCTCTCTCTCTTTCTCTCCCTGTCTTTTTCCTTCAGGCTGCCGCTCGGGAAGTTCGAAGTCCAGGATTGGCCAGCTGGGCCGTGGCGCTTCCTGCACCAGTGCGTGCCCTCCCTGGCCTCGCCGCCGTGTCTCGCTCTCCTCCTCCTCCTCCTCCTCCTCCTCCTCCTCCTCCTCCTCCTCCTCTCCTCCTCCTCCCCCTCCTCCTCCTCCTCCTTCTCCTCCTGGTCCTCTTCCTGGTCCTCCTCCTGGTCCTCCTCCTCCTCCTCCTCCTCCTCGTCCTCCTCCTCCTCCTCCTCCTCCTCCTCCTGACTCCTCCTCCCTCCCCCTCCCTTCATCACGACGCTCACCCGTTTTGCGCTGCCGCGCCGCCTGGCACTTGGTGAGGTGCCGTTGCCGCGTCGCCTGGCGCCGCGGGCACTTGCGCCCTGCAGGAAGTGTTGCTGTGGCGGTCGCTGTCGGGGGAAGGCGGTCCGTCACGTGTGGACGGCTCTGCGCTCATGCTTTCATGGGGCGGCGCGTTGAGCACCACCGTGTCTCGAAGTTCTGACAGGGCCTGGGAATCTGACAGCTGACAAGATTCGCATGCCAACACGCAAGCGGATCTGAATACGACCATCGCAGACCTCTGGCGACTCGTGTTCGCCATGTCGGCCCTTGGAGCCCTCGCTCCTTCCCCAGGCCTGTGCCTGTATCCCGGATCGTTGTATGTCGTGGTGTTTGTCGGGGGCGGCCAAGAGGGGGGTGATGCCAGGGGGGGGGATATCGTGGCGTGGGCCATGACAGTTCCCCAGATTTCATGGCGCCTCTTCTTACTTCATTACGTCTCTGGCCCACCCCTGGGCCGCGCACATGCCGCTGGCCATGATTTGCACCCCCCCTCTTGGACGCCCCTCTTGGCCGACCCCGAGTTTGGCGCAGTCCCTCCCCCGACGCCGAAAACAGTGAACAATTCGATAGCGAGTTGTTCGAGTCTCCACACGTTCGAGAGTAATCAGACCGATGGGAACTCAGGAATTCTCAGTCTCCCATTTCAGAAGGCAGCCGTTTGCAACATGCAGCTTCTTCCTGCGATCCTCCTCTCCTGCCCCATCTTCTACTGCAGTCGAGCAGCACATGGCAGGGTTTCGAGTCGAGTAGAGCGCGCCGCGCAGCATCGTGAGACGTGCAGCGCGCCCGTCTGGCAGACTCGGTTGCATTTGCCGGGAGTGTGGGCTGGGACGGGGATGGGGGAGAAGCGGGTGAGACAGGGAAGTTCAGGCGGGAAGGACAGGCACAGGGAAATGCTGAAAATACGGGAAGGGGAGGGGAAGAGGGAGATTCGGAACAGATTGAAAACATTGGGGAGTCTGGGAGTTTTTGTCTATTTATGTGTGTGTGTCCCTGGGCCCCATTCAGACGTGTCTAGAACAGCGGCGGAGCTCCAAAGTGACTCGGGTATTCACGCGCCCGCCGACGCGGCGGGGCCCATGTTTTTTTTTGTAGAGCCGGCGAGTGGCCCTCGTTTGGCGGCGCTCAGCTTCCACCGGGTCGCTGTTTGGCCGTGTGTTTTCTGGACGCCCGAAATGGGTACTGAAAGAATGGGTACTACGCCCAACAGCGGATCTTGTTCATTTTGAACAAGATCCGCTGTCCGCGCCGCCGCGGCCTGTGTCCATTCGAGACAGGAGGCCGCCCGCCCAACAGCGGCCGCTGTTGGTTTGGGACAACATTGGTTGTTGGGCATAGTGCCCATTCTTTCGGTACCCATTTCGGGCGTCCAAATGTTTGTGTGTTCGCGGAGCCCGCGCGGGGCGAACATCGCAGAGATCGCAGGCGGATGAGTTTGGGCTTCGGGTCTCAGTCCAGAGGGCCTCCTTCCTCCTCGCCCTCACCTTCGCCGTGTCCTTCTCCTTCTCATGCTCATCAGCGTCGTCGTCCTCGTCGTCCTCCTCTTCTACTGACAAAACATTGTGCAAACTAATAAGCAGACTACAGGGCAGCAACCAATAATTAAACATGATCAACCAAAAGCGGTAATCAACAACAACGAAGCACCCATGCACACAACACAAAACGAGCTTGTTTTCATCCTTCTGCCTCCTCCCTCCACTCGTCCTCTTCATCTCGATCCTCAACCGTTTCTTTCCCGGAGGTGGTTCTGCCCGGAAGCCTGTGGGTGCGACCCGTCGTACAGCATGAGCCAGTGCCCCGTCGCGTGCATCCTCCCAGAGTGCCTCACTGAGTTCGCCGGGTGTGCTCACGTGCACCCTTGGTTCAGCGACGAGTGCCTCGCCGGGTACGACAACGCCGGCGGGCAGCCCACATGCAAGAAGTGCACCGGCGGCGCAACGAGGCCGAGATGAGGGGGAGGGGAAAGAGGAGGAGTATGGAGAGGAGGGAGAGGAAGTGCCCTGCAGCCCAAACAGTTATTTGACCCTGCCATACGCAGTTGTGAATGCCGTTGTTGTGGATATCGCCTTCGGTGCAGCTCCCTACGTGGCCACGAAGCGTGTGAGGGGTGTGCCGAATCGGGTGAGGGTACGCGATGCGGACTGTGCCACTGGGGCCTTCGGAAGAGTTCTCTATGGGGCCACCAAGCGTGTGAGCGGTGTGCCGTATCGGGTGCGGGTACGCCACGGGCCTTCGGAAGAATTCTCTGTGGGTCCACCAAGCGTGTGAGGGGTGTGCGGAATCGGGTGCGGGTACGCCATGCGGACTGTGCCGCTGGGGCCTTCGTTGGAGCTCCCTAGGGGGCCACCAAGCGCGTGAGGCGTGTGCCAGATCGGGTGCGGGTACGCCATGCGGACTGTGCCGCTGGGGTCTTCGGTGGAGCTCCCTAGGGTGCCACGATCCGTGTGAGAAGTGTGCCGAGTTAGGTGAGGAGACGCCATGCGGACTGTGCCGCTGGGACCTTCGGTGGAGCTCCCAGGGGGCCACGAAACGTTTGAGTGGTGTGCCGAAGCGTGACTGGTGGTGGCGTGGTGATGTTGATGTTGATGCTGATGCTCGCTGCTGCTGATCATGATGACGATGACGGTGATGAGGAGGATGAGGATGAAGATGAGGATGAGGATGGGGATGGGGATGAGGATGAGGCTGAGGCTGAGGATGAGGATGAGGATGAGGACGTGGATGAGGATGAGGATGAGGATGAGGATGAAGATGAGGATGAGGATGAGGATGATGCTGCTGCTGCTGCTGCTGATGATGATGATGATGATGATGATGATGATGATGATGATGATGATGATGGGTACTGGTGATGGGCGGAGGGCGAAGGGAGAACTCTGCAACACGAGGAACCAACAGCGCAGACTGGTTGGTAACAATGCCTGCCGAGAGGCCACCCCTCGCCTGAGCTGCCTTGCGATACACCTCTGGGCACGGTGGGCACGATGCCCACGACGATCTCGATGCTACGCTTAAGTCGGGCTCCCTCTACAGGAGGAATATCCAGAAATAGTCAACAATAGTCCAGGGACGATTCCTCCACTATTTTTGAATATTTGGGGGTATTTGTTTGAGTGCGGTTTATGTGTCGCCCAAAATCCCCCTGTATGGGGGACACGCCCGACTCAATGCGACGCTCGAAGGAACGCCAGGTGACGCTGCCAGAATTGAACACGCTGGCAAGGGAGACAGAAGGGAGGGGGAGGAGGAGGAGGAGGAGGAGGAGGAGGAGGAGGAGGAGGAGGAGGAGAAGGAGGCGAGGAGGAGGAGGAGAAGGAGGAGGCGGAGGACGCGTAGGAGGAGGAGGAGGAAGAGGAGGAGGAGGAGGAGGAGATCAGCGCGGGCGAGCGGGTTGCTGGACCAGCGGAGCTCCCTGCACCAGTCGGCGGCCCGAGGACCTCTCTCGGGGCAGGGCCCCCGCCGCCACGGCGGGATGCAGGGCCTGCAGCCTCCTCCTCCTCCTCCTCCTCCTCCTCCTCCTCCTCCTCCCTCCTCCTCCTCCTCCCTCCTCCTCCCCCTCCTCCTCCTCCTCCTCCTCCTCCTCTCGAGGCGCCGACCTAGGACAGGTCCAGCTCTGGCCCTGGGCGACAGCACGACCTGGGAGCCTCTCGGGGACGAGGGCTCGAAAGGTCCGTTCTGGTCCCTGGTCTGGGTGCCCTCTTGGAGCCGTCGCGAGGGCCTCGTGGGCCGTCTTGGAGGGGTCCTGGGCCGTCCTGGGGGTCCCTTCTGGGGGTCGTTTTGGGTCCCTCCTGGAGCCCTCTTGGGCCGTCTTGGGGCGATCTGGGGGGCCGCTTGGCCATGGGTGATAACAAAAACTAGCCCCTTCATTTAGCGCTCCCTTGACCGTTACTTCAGCAAGCTTGACTGCCCACCCTCGCAGCGCCGCGTCATCGTGGCACGACGAGTGAGGGTCCTCGGCGAAGAGCCTTCGATAATGCACACTGCCGCCAGCGGCTGGGCTACACAGTACCGCGATGCGTCGTGACGCGGCTTGTTGGCTGTCTCGACATGTGGCAATATCCAGGCCAGCTGCGACGTCAGGATCATGCGACCGAGCGATTCAGAAGTGCTCGGAGGTCGCAGCGCCCCCCTGAATGCGGACGACTGGAGGCATTTTCTTTGTTCGTCGTCGCCGTCGTCGTCGCCGTCGAGCGGCCGCCAGGCCGCAGCTCAGCGACCCCAGACGAGAAGCACTTGTTCTTTTTGAATCGTCCCTGCCCAAATCGGTTTGTCAAACGATTGGTCGCATTAACAGCACCGTGTGCTCTCGCGCGGCCGTCCCTTCGGCCTGTCCCCCCCCGTGCAGTGCCCGTGGAGGGCCCGGACACGTCCGATCCCGGTTTTTGTTTTTCGATCGCCATCTCCCCCACAAGCAGTTGCCACAGAAGATCCGTTGGAATTTGCTGGGCAAGTAGAGCGCCTGTGAGAACGCGCACTTAAAAACATGCGTGCATGTGCAGAATATGCGTCTCACACAGCGGTAAGATCGCATATCGCAACTGAGTTGCTTTGCCACAGCCATCGGAATAAGGCAAAAACACGCAGGCCTACATACTTAACCTGCGCGAGCGCGACGTTTGTACGAGGCGCGGCGCGCAGGGACTTTCGATCGAAATACGATGGAGGAACATACGTTTGTCCGAGGAACGCGGGCCACGGAGCAGCCCTCCAGTTCGTCCGACCAGGGCCGCCCCTGCTGAGGCCGCCGAGGGCGAAATCGAATCTGTTCTCCGCGTCACCCCAACATACTCATAGTTATATGTGCGTCGCCCCCCCCAGGGGCGACGCGCGCACCGATAAATCGTATAGTGCACGCGTCGTGGCGGGCGCTTTCTGGCAACGCCGCTCGGGAAACGATCTACTACAAGGATGGGCATACTATATGTTCGGGTCCGACGCGCGCCTCCAAGGAGAACATGTAGTACTAGAACGTCTCTGTGCGTCCGATGTTCGAACCATCCTCTCTCCTAGCAGGCCTCGAGCCGCGTTCCGCGGCCGCCCCCGAGGCGGCGGCGGGCGACCAGCTGCACGGACTGCCCCGAGGGCTTCTTCGACGACGAGAACGTGGACGACTGCGAGCGGTGCCTGGAGGCACCTGCGCCCACCATTCCGAGGCGGAAATTTATACATGACCACCGCCTGGAGGGTCAGTTTTCGGAGCCTCGGCAGGCGGTGGATATGGACATATTCCGGCCACCGGGGCCGAAACGTATATCCATATCCACCGCCCGCTGGGGCACCAGGACGTCGGTTCCCAGGCGGTGGATGTGGATAAATCCCCGCCTCGCAACCATTCCCCCCCCTCAGCTGGGCCCGCCCTAGTCGATAGCGACTTCGGCCAGCCCGATCCGATTCGATGTCGACGTTCCGACGGTCCGTCGCTGCGTCGTTGCGGCCCGGTCCTCGCACGGCGTCGTTGTGCACCTCGGCGCGGCCCACTTGGCTCGATTCCAGCTCCGTGCCGCTGTGGCCCGAGCCGATGTGCATTCCGATTCGATCCGGCCTCCCGGTTTCATCTTGATGTACCCTGCTCCTGGATACGTGTATATATAGATATACACATACATATACTGGACAGATACGTATACATTCACATACACAATTACATAGATATCGACATATACATCTACATTTACGGATACGTAAAACGTGTACCACGACGGGATCCCCAGCGCTGGGGCTTTGGAAGTCCCTGCCGAGCCCTGCGCACGGGCTGGCGCCGGTCCCAAGAGGCCTTAAGACGGTCCATGATGGCCTCCAGCGGCCCCAGGCCCACGCCAGACGCCCGAAGACGGCCCAAATGTCACACCCAAGAGGTTTTCGAAACGCAAAAAAGGTTGGTTTTCAATCCATCGATTTTTGTATGATGTTGGGCCATTCGATCATTCGGTCTTCTGGGCGTCCGAGAAGCCCCGGGGGGACCAAAAAACCGTTCCACGACTACCAACAAAAGGCTTCCTGACAGTCCAGGACAGCCCAAAGACAGCCCAAGAGGGCTCAGAAACTGCCCACTGAGGGCCCCATCACGGCCCAAACTTGCCCCAAGACGCCCTCCCGTAGAATTCAAATTGTGACCCGAGACCACGGTTCGCAGCATGGTGGCCCGAGGACCCCCCCAGGGGCCGCCAAACAGCGCCAGGGACGTTTCCCGAGGCGCCTAGGGAGCCCCTCAAAAGTTGTCGCGAGGTCCTCCAGCAGTTCGCCTCGGAGGAGCCTCGAAGTTGTCGGAGGAAGATGGGGAAGGGTTCGCTGGGAAATGCAGGCCATAACGACGAAGAGGAAGAGGAAGAGATCACCTGAGGGAAGGACGGAACAACAATCTGATAACGGTGATGCTGGAAAAGTGCTACCATGAGCGATCGTTGTTTTGATTGATCTGTCTCTCTTTCTCTCTCTCTCACACTATGCCTGCATGTTAGAAGTGAAGGACCAAGGTGCGTGGCGCGAAGCGCCACCGAAGTCTGGTACACTTATATTCCTCTTCCTATTTTTTTGCAAGCCCGGGGGGGGGGGGGGGGGAAAACTTCCCCCCCCAAAAAAAGCGAAAAAGGGCTTCTGCATGATCTTGGCCAAGATAATAGGTTCCTCACTGGATCCCATCAGACCTCCACAACCGTGCCTGACCACCAGATTACGTGTATCCCTCCATGGTTCCTCTCCCCCTTCAGCAAAGCCCAGGAAGATAGCAGCGTGATCCGCTCGATGTTCAAACAGAGCTTGATCTCTAGGTAAGACTAGATCGCGAATGGCACGACGTCTAGCAGCAGGTTTAGTGGAGGCGAAAGCGTTAGACATATCATGTAGATTGTTGAGGTGAGCTAGCTTTCGCTTCCGAAGACGGTGGCCTACACAAAGCTGAACAGCCAGGGCATCTTCTCGACGTCGAGCGGGCAGAAAACCCTGAAAGCTAGCTGGCCAATCCTGAGGTTGTGAGGTTGAACACATGGAACCCGCACCCCCCCAACCCGAAAGTCGGGTCAAGTTCGGGTCTTCGGGTTGGGTTGGGGTGGTCTGGTAGGTAGTCAGTACCAGCATGCCTTCACGCGTCCCACGGCAGGGGGCCACTCGGCGGCGCCGCTCCGAGTCCTGCACGGACTGCGGCCCGGGCAGCTACGACGCCGGCGACAGCGACGAGTGCACGCCCTGCCCTGGCGGGGCCACGACGCGCAGGCGCTGCTGTCGGCTGAACCACCCTCGCGGCCCAGGGGGGGCTGGGCCGTAGGGGCGAGGTCCTCGCCGTCCTTGAGTCGCCTACCGACCTACCTAGCTAGCTACCTACCTACTTACCTAGCTAGCTAGCTACCTACCTACCTACCTGCCCACCTAGCTACCTATCTACCTACCTAGCTACCTACCTACCTAGCTACCTACCGCCGCTCCCTCCACTCCCTCCCCCCCCCTTCCCTCCCCCTTTCCCTTCCCCCCCAGTCACCCTGCCGCCGTAGGTGACCCCAGGACGGCGGGGGCATTCCCCTGGGCGAGTAGGACAGGTTTTGAGGCACCGGAAGGAATTTCCCGAGTCCCCAGTCGGAGAGTCGGCTAGTCGGTCAGTCGGCCAGTCGGGGGGGGAGTGTCAGATAGTTCATGCCGCTGCCTCACATTTTTTCCACATGTCCCAGGACGGCGAGGAGGCAGTTGTTGAAGGCCCTGGAGTTGGCACCCACACAAATATCGGCAGCGTGTTTCCACCAGGATGATCCCGAGCTCGGTGGTGGTGGAGGTGGTAATGCTCGGGCTTCCTGGGCGGCCGAGATGGTTTACCACCGACACGAAAATCCGGGATCCTCTTCTACCGGTGGAGGCAACCCCGTGCCTTGGTGTTGGTAGCCTTTTCCCTTGCCTCCAAAGGTGGAGGAAGATGAATGAGGGACCGAGGAGGAGGAGGAGGAGGAGAAAAAGAAGATCCTTTTCCTCCTTCATCCTCCTCTTCCTCCTTTTCCTCCATTGTCCTTGCTACATGTTTACCGCTACCTCGGGCCCAGCGGCGATTGAGCTATTGTCTATCCTCCTCTCTCTCTCTCTTTCTCCCTATTTCTCTTTCTCTCTCTCTCTCTTCCTCTTGCTCTCGCTCTCTCCCTCTCTCTCTCTCTCCTATTCCTCGTCCTCTCCCCCTTGATCCTCCTCCCCTTCCTCCTTCGCCCTCCGTCCTTCTCATCCTCATCCTTCTCCGATCCTCCTCGGGAGGAGGAGGAGGAGGAAGCACAGGGAGATCGGAGCTCCGAGCATGGCTGGGGGGGAGGCAGAGGTTCTCGAAGAGGTGTTTCGCCGCTTTCGGCTTGCGGTGCTCGTTTCGTGCTCCCCCCCTTCTCAGCAATCGATATGACGTGAAAGCCCGGCCAGGATAGGGGGGAGGCGGAGGAGGCGGGGGAGGAGGAAGAGGAGGAGGTGGAGGAGGAGGAGGAGGAGAGTGACGTTTTGCGCACTCCCTCAGACTCCTGTCAGGATCCGGGGGTCGGAGAGCGCTCCATGAGGGGTCAAGGGTCAAGGGTCTACGATACCCTCCGCGTGTCAAGAAGCATTAAGTGGCACTTGTACTTGGCATCGCTCGGGCGTGTGCACATGTTCTCGGAGAGGACCATCGAGGAGCATATTGATTCACCTGGTGAAACAGAAGATCACGACATCGAGGAATGCACAGTGAATGGACATCCGAGCGGTGGCGAGTGTAGTTCAGTTGGTTTGGGATGTTGATGTTTGCACGGGAAATGGGGGTACGCTTGTTCGGTCATGCCCCCCCTCCTCCCTGATCCCTAGAGTTCTGCTGGAGCACGTTCTGACCACGACTCCGAGGCGGATGCAGACGTGGCGGCGAGGGCCCTCCAGGATCCAGGAGACCCAGAGGACCCAGAATCCTGGAACACGAATCCTCCTCCTCCTCCTCCTCCTCCTCCTCCTCCTCCTCCTCCTCCTCCTCCTCCTCCTCCTCCCCCCCCTCCCCCTTGCACAAGTCTCCAGAGGCGCCTGGAGAGTGGTCGCCAAAGGCCCCTGGAGCCTGGAGGTACCCAGGGGGCCCAGCAGCCGCGACTCCCTCGAGCATCGAGGCTCGACTCTCCCCAGGCGGTCGACGTCCTGCGTGGAGTGCGCGGCGGGGAGCTACAGCGAGGGGGGCGTGGAGGACGACTGCCAGCCGTGCATGGGCGTGTCGACGTCGAG